ATTCGTTTGCTGCTTGAACAATTCACGTAGTTTGAATTCATGCGTCCATTCAATGGCTCACATACCATATATTCAATAGTACTAAGGTTGAACGGGGTCTTCGATCCAACCTCGCAAAAAGTAGGAAATCCCCCACCCGAAATCAGCCTCCTCCGTTTCGCAGTCCTATACAGCCGAAATCACCCTTACGGTTTCAAGCCTTAAATAAAACCATATGACCTTAATTTATCCAAAACGTTCATTTCGATCATCTTCTAGAACTGGCAAGATAAGTCGTTAGAGGAGCTGATGGAAGAGTTGAACAAGGCCATGAAATGCAACTTAACTCAACTCGTACTAATTATTTTGAATATTGTTATCGATTGGCATTATGCTGAGTTCAGGTTACCTTAAAGATTACTTCCGCAATATTTCCTGCTCCATCTTAATTCATTGAGGTCTAGAGTTGAGCTATTTGCAAGTAATTTTTCGATTACAACCACAAAGTTATTGATAGGGTTCAGTTATCGTTATCTTTACGATCAGTTAATTACAGGAGGAGTTACGAGTTGGAACAAACTGATGAGAGAATACAATTTTTGGAAAGAATTCAGAACGTTGAAATGTGGTTGTACGGTGAACGAATCGATCGTCATTTGGAGTTGGGTCGAACCATCCGCCGACTCAAACAAATTCGATACACCACGCGGCGTATATTCGACTTAAATGAACAACAGATCAACGCAGTTTTTTAGAAATCCAGATTTTGTATTGTAACTTTGTAATGAATCGTTATTTGTTGAAATACTCGTTGCCAAGAATACCATTATTGGGGAGGGAATTGGAAAGGAGAGCGTTTAAGTAATTTTGCGGCAATTTACTTTATGGTTTTCCCAAATAAACATTCTCACAGACAGGGATTTTTGTATTTTCTTGGTTACGATAATATTTGTTAATGCGAAAAAATGCAAAATTATATTGAAGGTCATGTTTACTCATGTTGTAATGAATTTGTCTTCTTTACTGCCGATATCATCCTAATTTGTTGACGAATAAAATCTCTGTTCACCGTTAACTGAAATGATTGCCTTTTGCAATCGGATGTTTTGGAAACATTGTCGGAGACTAATCTGTGCTATTAATTGAAACTAACGATTATATTTGCATTGTTTGTTTTAATGACGAGTATGTTCGGATTTAATGAATAGGTTTTCAACAGCGGTTTACCGTTGTTGAAAAATTGAGTGCATTTTGGCTATGAAATGTTTTTGTGTTCTCGTTACGTTCGTTTTTTGTCTAAGAGGTAATATAGCACCATTGGAGCGACATTCTGTAAACTTTCTGCGTTTTGAACGAACGAGAAGTTCCAATTCAAGAGCTCACTGAATGTCGTTCCAAACATGCATCAGTACTAACAATAAGACAAACACTTGGAAGATGTTGTGGTTTATGAACTATAATTTTGGTCGAGTGAGAATGGATGAAACCTATTCATTTTAGTGACTGCACTCATTTCCAAAAAAATAATAGATTTGAAATATTATAATGTAATCTTTTCGTGCAATAAAATTGAATTTTAAGTTTTGCATAGTGATGGCAATTATGCAAATAAGAAAATTATTCCGAACTGCTGATTGTGAGATGATAAAATATTAAGGCAAAGTAGTTTTAGATCATCTTGATTTGTGCACTCATCACTGAGCGGTTCAGTTGTAAGTCGATATATTCGTTGATCACCAGTTTCCGAGAGATGATTTCTTATAATTGAAGTCTAAGGCCCGTGGGAAGTGCGTATGTTGGCTGAAGATAGTGGACTAGGGTGGCTGTCAAAGCCAAGTTTTCAAAGTAATAGAAATTCGGAAGTAACAAATTTCAACAGTTGCCAGCAGTCAGTCAGCATTGTGATGCTCATTTGAAGGAAAATGCGAGCAGTTCAGTACTATACAATCGTATTAACGGTAACATTCGGCTGCGTACAATGTTGGAGAAGAGGAGATTTTAGTTGTTATGAAGGGCCGCAAGGTAATATGCGTATGAAGCGTTGTCCACTGCAAACTGATCGGTGCTGTTCGTTGTACTTCGACAATCGCACCAATGCGGCATCGTGTTGGTTTGAGCTTGTTCATGTAAGTTATGAGCTTGTTCATGTAGGTATCAATTTGTTCACTCATAATATCCGATGAGAATAATGCCGAACTGTAATGTCGATTCGAAACAAAATGCAGTCAATAACTTGAATGATGCACAATAAATGAAGCACAGATTTTTAACGAATATCTATTGAAACTTTAGTGCGGTGGTTCTCATAGGCGGTGAAATTGCCCATTTTGAGTAATTTAAAGGTGTCAAGGGGTAATGGAGGGGGTCGGGAAATTAGTATTCCGTGCAGTTGTTATGTTATGATAGAACACCATTGTGATGGTGTTTTTTGTACCTTAGGTATGTAAATGCGGTTAGTTGATGGCAACACTCTTCATTCTCCTATTTTCTGAGTATCNGACTGTTGAACGTAGTTGGGTAATTCAATGTGACTGTTGTGTTGTTGATTTCGGCTGTCAACACTCGTCAACATATCTAGTAAATAGTATATGCTACAGAATGAGAAGTTGATTTCAACTGTGAAGTGAAATGAGACGAAATGAATGAGAATTCATGAAGAAAATGGTATCCATATGCAGTAGCTATGAGAGTGAATACAACATGCCTGAAAAGATTGAGAATTCGTCTAAATCGGTTTGAAGTGAGCATGTCATAGACAACAGCTTTTCTTGCAATCATAATCGACTGCAATAGTGTGCAACGCAACGGTCTAGGACAATGGTTCTCATAGGGAGTCAATTTACCCATTTTGGGTAACTTGGGGGTAACGGCGGCTTGTCGGATCATCAAAAGGGGTAGTGGAGCACCCGAATGTGAGAAGCACTGCTTTAGTGGATAAATTATACTGATATAAAGAATGCCTGAATACTAGACAATTAGACTCATTTAAAGGATTCAATAACAGAAATCCAACGTATTCCTGACATTAATGGCGTTATTGCATGCTGTGGCAGTGATTACTGCAATACCGAAGAACACCTGCAAGAGCACTTGAAGTCGGTTCTTATTAAAATGATTAATGCATTAATGCAGCAATCCTATTGAATTTGTGGTTCAGTTTGCATCATCATACATTACACATGCAACATATTGCAGCTACTACTCGAAATTTTCGTGATATGCCAGTCATAGTTCTAAAACTTAACCTACCCCTACATTCTGGAAAAATGAACAGTCAGTAAAGGACTGTCTTGCCAATACTCAAAATCGTGCGCATCCGCTAAACATCCTGCTTAAATTTCAGGGAAGCATCGAAACTTTTGCAACCTTTGCAACCGCACTTCAGCCGTGACAGTATGTTACTTTCGATAGTTTTGGTCATTGTATTCTATGAAAGGATCCTGAAACGTCGTCACATTTCATTTGAGAATTATTAAAGAATTGTGACATGAACATTTTTTGGAATTGCATTGCTTTTAGGTTTTTATTTATGGAATGTAGATTAAAAGGATTGCCACTTTGGGGAGATGTTTAGTTGTAATTGGAATGGTAGTTTTTTGAAATACTTTTACGTTCAGGTGAATGATAAACTGACCCAACGTGTCCTTGATATACTGCTGAACTAACTGCTGTTTCCCTGTTATGCTGTGCTCCAGAGATTTTCTGACTTAATTTGGACAAATTTCGTGTGTCTATGAATGAAATCAAATTCGGGCAAGGATCTTTAACTGAAATTTTCAGTGTTCCATAACATTTTCATAACTGTTCAGATGCAATTAATTCTCTGACCAGAAGTGAACGCAAACTTTTTCAGACAGTTACATAACGTGTCATACGGGTGTTGGTGGCAAAGACACAACCATATGCCCAATGCCAGACAATATGTGTTGCGCATTTTACTATGACAATGGCACTGATGCGGGAATGTGTTGGAACGAACTCGTTAGGGTAAGCTGATTGAGTTTAACAGTCAAAACATTTGACTGCACTCATAAATTCTCGTGAATTCTTCTAGCTAAAATTACAAATTGAATAATTAAAGTCATAATCATTCATAGAATCATTATTAAGGTCTGCTCACTTTAATCATATTCATCTCATAACACTGCCGATGATAGTTTTAAATCGAATGACTCACGAGTCTGTTAAGTGGAAATAATTATCGCAAACCAGAAAGGTAATATAAGTGGAAGAGATGAATTACTTAACTGCAGGAGTCGTTAGTCTTACCGCAACGTGTCACAGAACATCGCGCGACTAGAGTTTGTTGCCGACCGGACATTTGCAACGATGCCGAATTCATTGCAAAGAACAAATTGTAGGGTGCTTGCTCTTCGTTCATTAGATATGACTTTCAAACAACGAAACTGATTGAGTCACATTGCAATCAGCCATTATTTACATCATAAACAATTCTTGATTTAATTTCTTCAGTAATCAATTCAAGAGTATCAATTCTAGAAAGATGTTTTTAATTTTGAAATCGAAACGGCTAAGATGACACCAAAGTGTCACTCCTTTAAGAAATCAGTGGTTGAGGTTTCAGTAATGATTCAGTCTGTAATAGAATCGATCATGGTGAGCAGCATCTTGAAAGGGATGTGAGATCGAACTTGAGTTCAAAAGAGCATGAAATGATTTTTGAAATTAAGTTGAAATTGTAAATTTCACAATAACTCATCATTTAAATTTGCAGTAAAATTGAACTGATTTCACCCGATGAACGAGAAGACAAGGGTTTGTGTACCACACTATGAAAGCTTCTCTTATTTGTAGTTTTGATAGTTTTTTAAAATTATTTGACGCTTCATGAACTCAAACACCTAATTTGTGATGTGACCAACTGTAAATTATCAACAACATGATTAAGTCACATTGCATTTAGCCGCAAATTCATTCAGTTTTTTTGTTGGTCACAAATTCATTGGTTCTCTTCTTATTTAGTTTTCATTTGCATTCATTAGAAACAGTGAATTAATGAAAGACATTCCAGCACAGCCAGTTTTTAAACAAATGGATCGTGATCTCATGATCAAGCACAGAATTAGAGCTGAGACTGTGGGCAATCAAGGCAATCAACAAACGTTTGCTGCGGAATATTTTGTACTGATTCTTTTTGCGGTATCCTCACTCGTCATGACTTAGAGAGAAACATGAATTATCATTGATTAAGGTACGCTTTGGTGAAGTGTACTCCTACTGACTCAATACGTTGTACGTGCACTGACTATTATGTATTAATTATTAAGATAACTGTTGATGTGTAGTAAAACTTGATGAAACCTCACTGTTTACCAATTACAGAATGTACACCTCAAGCCACACAGATCTCCATATAAACTTGTCAGAAACGTTGAGAGCATTCTGTTTACTGAACAGTCATTATAAAGAAGCAAATTTGATCACTGGAGACATTGATCGAAAAAAATACTAACAAGGGAAGCTAGTGGTGGGCTTAATTTTGAGTGCTGTTTCGAGATGTGTTCATATATGTGTGTTGAGTCGGCGGGTGTGATTGAGGGTGAAATGCGTACAGATACACAGAACAAGTTTACAGCTGTTTATCGGAGAAGTGAAACAGAACAAATGAGGCAGTAAAAAACGTCATAGATTAATAAAACAAGGAATAGCAGTTATCAACATATAACATATCGTCGTTCATAAAATCGATCACCGGCATGCATGCAAAGTATGCAGAAAAATGATGGTAACTCGAACAAATACCTCGAAAACCACGTAATGATCACAACGATAGTTTTTTTTTCTGGAGAAGATCCATAGATACGGTCACTTAATCTCGTGAACAGTCTCACTCTACTGTGTTCATCGGTTTGTTCGCATCATCAATCCATAAATAAATTCGGATTTCTCAGGAATTCCCCGATTGTGAGATAAATACTACAAAAACAGAGCACAAAAAATTATCGAAAGTATGTTTTAAGTACATTCACCCAAAAATTTAGTCATATTATTGTTCGATGTACAATTGATGGTTATTCAATAAAAACTATGAGGATATTTTCTAAGATAGTTTCTCGATTGATGTCATTGAAAATGAGCACAGAAATAGCGCGAATATAAAAAATGAACAGATAAAACGTTGAATGCGAAACCACTTTTGTTAAAGTAGTAATAACAGAAATAGAACAACAATAAGAACTACAGTGATACGTGATAACAGAATAAAAATGATAATATATTTTCAAATCACTGAAAGATCACAAAGATGGCCATATTTAAGCTTGCATGTGAAGCCGGGAGATTGGTATACAACGAGACTTCGAATGCTGCAACGCTCACTGAAAAATGGCCTTCAGGCACGGAATGATATTCATTTGTGGATGAAATAACGATATTTGGATGGAATGAAATGCAATAACAGAGTAGTCATGAACGAATGCTTTAGACTTCTTCTACGATATCATTTGCTACGCTCCTTTGCTATAAGCAAATACATCCTGCGGACAATTGTTCTGTGAACGCAAAATTACTGAAGTAACGAGAAATAAAATCCGAATGAAATGACATCGGCATATCACATCACAATAAATACCATACACAGACAGACTAGAAGTAAACTGCCGATAGGTTCAATAGGATCGACTGATAGTTATACAAATTAACAACGACAAAAACAACAGCAGTACACTTGGCACACATCCATTCGCAGATCCATCGTCATCTGAAAAGAAATTTCGCTGAGATTCCATGAGGCTAACATTGCTTGTGATAATTTCGAAAGACGCAAAGCATACGAATGTCAAATACTGACCAAAAAATGACTGTTGTAAAATATTAAATCAACGTAAGTAAATTGTAAGGCATAGAATACCGTACACAGTTACACAAATTGTACGGAAATAATATTCGAATTGTATGGAAATAATACAGGAATAAAAATTCTGAAGCGATTTGTGGAACATCGATTAAATTTCAAGAAAGTCACCCATTAAGAGGTTCAAATTTTGCTTTTAATTAGTTGTTAATTGCTTCAAAACTAGCGTAGAATTGCACTAAATGTGAAATTTTCTTATTTTTAGCAAGTATTCTCAAGAAAGCAAGAATGGCTCTCGAATATTCAGATTTTAACGAACCGTCTGTAGAGGAAGTTTGATCCGAGGATGAATCACTCGAATGAATTATGTACAAAAGAGGAGTGGAAGCTTGCAGAGGGTATCTGAAATCCTTTGAAGATTAACACCGATATGAAAATGGTCGGATTGATTGAGCCAATGAAATGCTCAATATTTTGAAACTTTGGACGGCCCATAATGTTCCCACCGTACTATCTACGATAAATAATTGAAAATTTTATTTTGTTTCTGCTTTCATCTCAACAATTCATTATAAAGTTGGTGCATTCATAGATTCAAATAGTAAAAACAAAGAGAAAGATAAACGAGATGAAATAAACGTACTCAAAACTTTGTCTCAGATGGTCATTTGATGAATCAATGTAATCATTCATCAGATCAGTTCTGTCTGCAAATGCATTAAAATCTGAATGGTTATGAACAACATCTCAGCAACACTATCATTAAAAGCATGAACTAGTTCCCTCAATACACTAAACATTCTGTATGCTAACTGATGAGCGCTATGCAGTATCAAGATTTATATGTACTTTTCTAGGAACATTTCGGAACTATTCGAATTTTCTGCGAAATTAATCAAAAAAAATTTTGGGTGAAATTTCAAGGATAATTATGCACTGCTTAAAATAATCTAATGAAGTGAATGCGCAGTTTATTTGACGTTGCGTTAATTGACTGCAGTTTGGTTATACTCGTTGCTGTTGATATGATTACGCATTACGTGCACAGATAATGCCCATTAAGATGAAATTATGAGGAGAGTTCTGATGAGTTGCACGCACATAAGACGGGCTAGTTCAAGATGAGCACAAAAACAATTAGGGCTCTCTTGACCCAAAATCACACCCATGCACAACTCTAATTAGCGATACAATTGTTCCGTTTATTAACTGATTCGAATATCAAATCAATTTGACAATCATTGAGTGGCTATTTGCAATCCAATTATAATTCGTTCATTTCTATCCGGATCAATCATAAATATGCGCAATTAAGCATGCATTATGACCGTTACTCCACCGGAATTACTTCGACCCACATCTTCTTCAACCAAAAATGATTCAAAGCAAGATTACTGTAAAGCAAATGGAATTACTTCATCGATTCACGTGACGAAACAATCGAATCAACTCACCAGAATGAACTTCGAATTTGACTTTCATATGCCTCGATGCACACAGTCCACCTGACCTTTTATCGATACCTTCTTCGCTACCATCGGATGTTGCTGAAACGAAACCAATAGGTTATGATAATCATTCACATGTATTTTCTCCCCACCGGAAGAAGAACTGAACGTAGACTTCAAATATTCAATAACCTCTTTATTATGTCTGTTATTTCCGATTTCAGAGTGTTCTATCAGCACCGTTACTATTCAGACAATTAATTAAATCTTATCTAAAGATATTGTCTGCCTCTCCCCTACAAGCCATTAATCTTGTCGCAACGTATCATTCGTTCACCATTGAAATATCAGTGTTATGATGACCCATTTCATTTATCATTTATGAACGCTCTTCAACACATCCACTACATTAAACTACATTGATCACCACATTAAATCAACAACTAAACAACTGCATAACAAAACGATTTGCGTTCGATNTCAAAATAATGCCATTGTTGAATCGGTTGAGAAATAATTAACTAATAATTGTTATTGCCTATTCGACGATTAGATGATTGAGTGGATACAATATTAAATTAGACGTTTTGTTGTGCAGATTAATTTGATTGATCATTTAAAGAAGAGCTCAATTAATGATACCATTCAACGTTATTCTTGCTGATTTCTTGAACGAATTATCAATGTTTAGTTGATGAACGTCTCATATTCAATCACGAATGGATCGAAATCAAAAAATGACTACACAGTTTTTGAGTGATCAATAGGCAAGCATTTTTAAGGTTGCTGCATAGATGTGCAGATGTTTAATTAGAATGAGAGCTCTGATAATGGTTCCTTAGCGAACATTTGAGGTGGGTTTATTTTGGGTGATTGATCGCAGCTGAATGTGATACGACGACTTGGTTGGGTGAAACGAAATTTGAACTTGAATATGTTTTTTGATTAGGTCTGATGCAGTGATCTGGTGTGTGGCAAGCTTTTTTTTGGAAAGAATGAGGAATTGTGATTGTTTGGAGAGGAAGGATATCGATTAGTAGTGATATCGTTGATCTATTGACCTTTGTGGATCTGGTGAAACGCAGATGCGATATCATCGATGGTTGTTCGATTGCATCATGCGTAATACATCATGCAACCAGCCAATCCCAATCAATCAAACAATTGCTAGCAATATAAGACAATCAATCGTTTTTTTTTGCCATTTTTAAACTGCTTGCATAAATAATCATCTTCATTTCTTCAGCCAACAATATTGTTGGCTATTTTTTCAACAGTTTTCCCTGGAATCTTCTCAATATTCTATCTCAGATGTTTACAACATGCAATGAGTCATTTAGGAAAGTGATCAAGTGTACACATGTTCATTGGTATTTGAGATTTGAGAAATGAAAAGTATTCACTGAAGTGAGGCATTTCAGTGCGAAATATATCACTGATCAATTTGAATACATCAACTGATATAGAGACCCACAAGCGTGCATTCAATTTTCTCAGTTGAGTCGAATCGTAAATTCTAATGATGTGCACAAGAAACTACTTAAGCAACACACAAAAAGTGCAATTAATGAGTCGTCAATAAATGAAGACGATATGAGAAGAAGAAATTAGGAGAAGATGTGCTGAAGATGAATGGATACTTATTTTGGTTACATTCATCGTCTTTCGGAAAATGCTTTACACATGTGTAACACATGTTCAAAATGATTTTTTGATGAGAGGCAAAAAGAGTCGGTGATTTTTATGTGCTTTGCAAATTGAGCCGTGTAGTTTGGAGGTGTTCAACTTCACACACTCTGATCACTGGTAAACAGTCTCATCGATCACCTTACAGTTTATCATTAATTATGAATACCGCGTAACTTTGATCCACGATAAATTCCCATCCAAAAATACACACACAATTATTCATTAGTCTGCTGATTATAATCAACAGAATCGTAATGATAAATTGAGCAACCGAAAAGGTTTCATAGTGATAGTTTGTGATTACTGAATGTAAATTGGCATTTATTCACACATTCGATCAAAAATTATTACGCTTCAACTAAAAAGACTTATATTGGTTTTTGCTGACAATGAGTATGCAAACGATCAACTATGCAAACGTTTGAGGTAAACAAAATTGTTAGCTTTAGGCATGCAGTTGGGAAACAATTGGAGCATTGATTAAATGAAAACATTGAAATAATGACATTGACGAGTTGCATCGTCAAAATATTTATCTAATTCGCTTTATGCTGAAACGAGCAAACGCAATTAAGCCACAAACAAACAAACAAACAAACAATACCAGTAAACAACAGCATTAAAGTAGTTCATGAATATGTTGGTAGAAACTTAAACAAATTCGAAGCAAAAACTCACTAATAATGTAATAGCTACGTCCTGGTTTGAATTCCAATGCACCGGGTAATGGTGAGAAATCACGAAAAACGATACTTATTGAGGATTGCGATTCCGCATTTTGACACACACCAATTAGCCGTTCATTCCGCAGTTCACAGCTATCGTAGCCATCTCGTGATACCTTCAAGTTTATTCAGCACTATTATAATTTTATTGACTTCATTTCAATTTAATGAACTGATGAAATACAAAAAATTTCGAAACATAATAAAATTTTGTCTCCCAAAAACATAATAAATTTCAAAATATAAAATTTTGAAAGCGACGATTGAAATACTTCAGAAAATAGCTATATATTTTGTCTTGAATTCTTTCAGTGTTCTATCGTTTGGTTTTATGTGATCGGCTATGATATGGGCAAGTGAATTGCATAAAAGTGATATCAAAAACAAAAACACTTGAACTGCGCAATAATTCGAATCATAATTCACAGAAATATCAAAACATTTTCCGTTCGAGCGATGACGAAAAATGAATTAGACTAAATGTATTTCAACGGAGCAATAAATTTGGATGAATTTTGATGAATTTCAGGAAATGATTCATGCTTCGATGGCATAAAATTTATCGTTCTCGTCCAAACAAAGAGCTCATTCAAAACTGAACGCTCACTCTACTCTGATGTGGTTTTTCTGCTCATTATTAATCGACGTAAGACAGCAGTTTTCCGACTGAACATTGAACAGTTTATATAAAGCACATCTTATTTGGATTTGGCATTTTAAGATCCAGAGTTCTTCTAGTGCTAACTCATCACAATCATAAAAAATGCTCTGGATCGGTACTGAAACTCTCAACTTTCATAAAACTGATTACTGGGACTTAGGCAACTTTCTTACGCGGTGACATTATTAAGTGCTGCACTTTAAAAATTTTTCTCTATCAGTGAAAGTGTTTTTGCTCAGCGACTAAAGAATAGAAAATGAATGGGGTAAGTAGGCTTGCTTACGTATGCGAAGGTTTGTCCCTAATGATTATTTGGGAGGACAGCAAATTTTGGAATTTTTCTTCGCATCTTGCATATAGTGGTGGATGGATGAATGGATGCGGCAATCGCGCACATTTGGGATCAATTAAAAACGAATGTTGTTGTATACTCAACTGATCGTTATTTCATTTTCGATTTATGTTCGCATACGAAACGCAACAAAATATTTTGAAACATTGCTTACGAGTCGAAAAATTTTTTTCATAATTTATTGAAGTTTCTGTCGTTTTTTGCTACTTTGGGGATTCAACTCAAATTCAGAAATAATATACTTAAATTGAGATTTCCAAACGATGTGATGCATGATATGGTTTTAATCGTGAAATCGTTACGACCACCTTTTTCACTAATTCCAAATTCATTTTATTTTTAAATTTGTCAATTTGCCCCAGATTATGATTTTCTGTGAATCAAAAATACTCATCCGCTGATTTGCAAATATAGTTGAGCAATCACATGTGTATGCAAAGGTGTGATACACTACATCTCCGTCGAAAATACCCGGTAAAATCAATGTAATTTGATTACAGTGAGTGATCTTTCCGCGGTCCTTATATTGAGTTCTATTCATCATATGATAGGTAAGCTTATTGGTAGATCAAAGTAGCAAAGTAATTATCAGTAAAACACTGAAAAGTTGACCAAACTTCAAACCCTCTAAGTCATATTGAAGGTGTTCTTAGCGATGTTCATTGTCAAGAATGATACGAAGAAAAAAGCATATTATTTGTAAGCCATATTCAAAAGTGAAATTTATTTCATCAATGAAATAGTTTTCTCAATTCATTCTTAAATCATAAAACTTCTTTCAATCAATCGTCAACGCAAGAAGCATTATCAATGAACCATTCAAATATTCCCTTCTGAATAGGTTTAATTCAATTCGTTCTTACCGCATACGATGAAAAGAAATTTCTCGATTACGTTTTCAAATGTTGTATGAAATAAGCAATTTTCATGAAGCACTTTCTATCTGATAATGGAAATCAGATCCTAAATATGATTATTTGTTACGATGGTGTTCGCAGTGCATCAAATGAACAGTCTGAAGTGCGGGATTAAACGAAGAAATTGATGCATACTGCGTATAATTTCGTATATTCGTACGGTTGTGGTGGCCTTGCTCTCGGCTGTGGGCATATGATATTGACACGATCCAGTAGTTTCACTGACATAACGTGATCCGTGTTACTGATATCGAAACTGAAACATTGATATTAAGATAATTTACGTTGTTGTTATTTGTTGATCATAATGAACAACAACACTGTTCTGTTTTGACTAGCGTTTACTGTGTGTTTGCATGCATAACGTACACTCCGAACATACTTCTGAGCTGTCGTTTCATTTTCAATCTCAAAAAATTTTGAATCACTTCTGTATTTTTTGAAATCACAAGTCTTTACGCTCATCCACTGTTCTATTATCAGTCAATATGATGCTTACTTACCTAAATTCAGAGTTGAATTCATTATGCTCATTTTCACAACCTTCTACTTTTCAAAGCAGTCTTTCGGAATTCTTAAGTTGTAAAAGTACTCAAGTGAAGTGCTCTTTGATGATGAAATCAATAAAAGAAACTCGAGAAGCTACCACTGGAAGTGGCTTCAGATGACTTCGAAGATGCTTATTGCAATAAGACAACAGTTCAGTGTCGGACTCCATTCAGTGCTCATCTATCTATATGAGCTGTTCATAATCTTGACGATATTCGTCTCAATACAATCCCTCGTAGAATGAAAATGGTACACATAAATTAGATGAAGAGAAACACAAACACATTACGCACGCACATTACACTGATTGATCGCAGTTCAACTGCATAAATGTTTGTTTAATGTCTCTCCACTCTTATGATAATGAATATTATCATTCGATATCACCTTTCGTGATTATCTTTTCATTTCATCAATCTGTCATGTAAACCATCAAAACAATATGCTTTACAGAAATGAATTCTACCAACTCCATGCTCATCTTAAAATGTTGCTGGATAATGCACTTTAGATCAAGAAGTGTCATTAAAAAAAAGCATTCTCTAAGCGGCAACTGCAGGAAGAATATGCAAATGCCCCTAAATTTTCAAGAAGAACGACTTTACTTCGTGCAAAATCTCCATTGTTGTTTCACATTCTAAAGAATGCACCATTCGGAAATTATTTCTCTTCACATGAATAATCAATCCATTTGGAAAGTCCTCAATTTACTAATGGCCAAAAAATGTGCTCAGAACAAACCATCAACGCAATCAACATTCAACTGGTTTGATAATTTGATCATTTGAGTAAGTCAACTTTTGTTCCGCATCTCGTAAAGTTCTGTTTTTCAAAGAAGTTTTGTCACATCTCATTATCTCTCCAAGTCAAACGAAAAGAGTACTCCATTGATGAACCAACAAATGGTGTTGATTGGATGAGTCAAATTTACTTTTGAAGAACAAATTAAGACATTTTTTTACGAAGCGTCTTGTTCAAACAATATCCGATTTTATGAATAAAACCGAAATTTGGTGAATCTGCAAAGCTGAGTTTACATTCATTCACTCCAATGAATACTCATCGCTGAAGTTACATTACAACAGTCAACTCAATCAAATTTATTTTTGAACTCAGAACGGAACAATGCTATCAACGCAATTTTGTTGCTTCTGTATCATCCGAAAACTGAAACGAGTTTAATTGCCCTACGAGTTTTCAATGCATTCACAATGTGTTCAGAATTTCGCAATTTTTGAGTGCATATCAAATAAGATCGCAATGTAAACTCTCTTCCCAATATGAAGAATCACTTAATGAATGCAACCGTGCTACCAACCTGATTTGCGTACACAAAAATTATAATGTTTACATCAAGTAAGATTTGTTTA